GTAGGGTAGGGTATTAGAGTTGGTGTTTGGAATAAGGTTAGTGTTAGTAAAAGCGTTGCTTTGTTACGTTTTGTCACTCTGATGCCAGTGAAATAACCTCTTCCTGTTGGTGGTTACTTGGGAAATGACCAGCATGCTTTGCGCGCACTGTTTGCCTGCGAATCTGGCTTTTCAGAACCAGAAATCGGGCTGGAGCACGTACGCGTTCGTTCTTTTGATTTTGCAAAAGAAGAAGGTGGGAAAGGGTATTTTCGTGAGCGGTGAATGGTCAATATTTGTTCGCGTGAAATATGAAATGCTTGATTTTAGTGTCGCGAAATGTGATTTGTTCTACAGCCGTGAGGCGTGATTGTCGATAAAAATGCTGCGTGAAATGAGAAATTAAGAACTGGTCTGTTTCGTGAATTGCGATTTTGCTATGTTTATTTCGATCTATTTTATAATAGTCCTTATAGACATGATACGCGATAATCAATTTATATGATCTCACTCGATTGCACAAGAGTAAAAACTTCGCAGGCCTTTCCGTGGTCGTCGGACATACTCGTCACTCAAACTTCTAAGTTATGATGTAGTTTTTAACTGACATGTAGAGAAGCGAGAGAACTTAAAGCGTAGATACTGTACCATGCATTAAACATACTCTAAATAAACCTATTATTATTATATTATTTTATTAAAATCTAGTTTTCCGTGAAATTGTTTTTTAAGACACGTGAAACGGCTTTTTTTTTCGTTGTGAAACGTGATCCATACCCCCCCCCCCCCCCCCTTCCCACCCTCAAAGAAGCACGACGAATGGCAAAATTCGAACGGTGCTCGTTTGCAAAAATAACTGCAAACTGCTCTAATTCTTTCTGTCACTTTCATTTGATCTCATCTCATCCGTTAAGGCAGTTTTCCACTAGACGGAATTTTGCGCGCGCGCAAATGTCTTGTGATTTCTCGGGTGGAACTAATTAGAAAATTAAGACAAAGAGAAATTCCGCTCCGCGCGGAAAATTCCACCAAGTGGAAAATGACCTTTAAGGCCTGATTCCACGAGGCGGAATTTTTCGACCGAAACGAAATTTCTCTTTGTCTTTTTACAATTAGTTCTGCTTGAGAGCACATGAAACAAAGAGAAATTTCGATTCGGTCGAAAAATTTCGCCTAGTGGAAAACTGCCTTGAGTCGGCTTCAACGGCCTTTGATTTATAGTTTTGGCAAGCGACTAGCGATTGCACAATCCAGTACTAACCTTTAGATCAGATAATACTTGCCAGGTCAGGGTATCATCTAGCGCAAAAGCAATAACAAAATTTTCAGTTCTTTCGGAAAGATTTTCTTCGATATTTGTGGGGGATATTCAGCCTAGACCTAGGCCTTCTATTTTTAGGCAAAATAAAAAAAGTACTTGGTTAGCGTCACACTCTCACAAATTTTCAGAGGCGGGTGGGCGGGGTTTTTTTTTTAATTTTTACTCGTTTTTAAATTTTTTAATAGTATTTTTTGGGGAAATGGGGGCGGTTTTTCCACCATTTCGGTGATATTTTTTGTACTGATTTTGCGAAGGCCGCCATTTTGCTTTAATTTAAAAGAACCTTGTGTACCCAAGCCTACGCGCTCCTATCGATCATTATATAGCGCGAAGGTCTGAACATGAGAAAAATTTCAAATATTAAACTGTTTTAAGCTGTAAAAGGAAGAGATTTACATAAAAAAGTGGGGTTTTTATTTGGCCTTATTTATATTTTTTTAATATTAAGCGCTTTTCACATGAAAAGACTGGGTCTAGCTGAATTGGGCGGGCGGAGGAAGGACGCAACTCGCGCAAGCGAAAAAATAGTGCCTAGTGGATTTCCCAACAACAAGGTAGATAGATAGATAGATAGAAACTTTATTTATACACGCTGACCCCGTCAACCGAAGCTGATTTCCACGGGGGGCGTGTGCAAAAATAGAAAAATGTTACATGGAGATATTAAAATACTTAAGTTTAAAAAGGTAGAATATTAAATTATTTACATGATGAGAAGGTTATTAGAATATTTACAGTTACATCAATTTCCTCTATGTCAATTTTGTGAGCAGCGATTTTATGTCTAAAGGATGAAAGAGTTTTGCTTTCCCTAATTTCCTTTGGAATAGAATTCCAAAGGTGTGCTCCGTCATACATGAAACTATTTTTCATGTTGTTAGTACGCGGTTTTGGTAAACTAAGACCGCTTGAAATGTCACGAAGGTTGTAGTTTGTTTTCTCACATTTGTATGAAAAAAGATTGGTGAGTGATTTAGGACCCATTTTATTTAATACTTTGTACATCATTTTTGCCTTAGCTTTCTTCCTTTCAGTTTTGAGTGGCTCCCAGCCCAATGCACGTAGAGCAATGGAATGATTTACGTCATTACTCATGTTTAAGATAATTCTAGCAGCTCTATTTTGAAGTTTTTGGACTCGTTTTGATTGTGATTCACCAAACACATCCCATACTTCACAACAGTAATCAAAGTATGGGCGAACAATAGCATTATATATCGAAATGAGTGTATCTTTGTCAATGAAAGGTTTGACTCGACGAATAGCAGAGATTCCTGCAGTTATTTTTTGCAAATATTTTCGGAATTACTTTTCCAAGACAAATGCTGGTCAACTATTACTCCAAGAGTTTTGCATTCGCTAACTTGTGTAATTTGCTTATTTTCAATGAAAACATTTAAACGTGAATCAGAATTTTTTTTAATCATTGCCTTTGAACCAATTAACATAAATTCTGTCTTAGCTACATTTAGACTAAGTTTATTGGCAATTAACCATTTTCTGAGGTTTTCCAAATCAGAATTTACTACAGTTTCAAGGTCAATTATAGAATCTCCCGAAGCTGTCAGATTTGTGTCGTCAGCAAACAATCGAGGTTTTGTTTTGTTTAGACACTGAGGTAAATCATTTATATATAACAAAAAGAATAGTGGTCCTAAGACAGAGCCTTGTGGTACGCCACACTTAATCAATCGCTCTGTAGAAAAGGAATTCTTAATTTGGCACTTCTGGTTTCTGTTTGTGAGATAAGATTTGAGCAAAGTTAGAGCTTCTCTTTTTATTCCATAAAGTTCTAACTTCCTCAATAGAATTTGATGATCAACAGTATCAAATGCTTTTTTTAGATCAATTAAAACTACTAGGTTAAACATTTTTCTGTCTAGATTCATATACCAATCATTGGTACAGTCTAGTAATGCAGTTGCTGTAGAATGAGATTTTCGAAAACCGAATTGAGAATCGCTAAGGAGTTCAAATTTTGTTAAATAGTTATACAGTTGATCATACAAAATTCGCTCCATAATTTTGCTAATCGCAGGTAAAACTGATATTGGTCTATAGTTTCCTGGAATATTCCGTTGGCCATTTTTATACAAAGGTATTACTCTTGCCATTTTCCATTCATTAGGAAAGGAGGATAGAGTTATAGCCTGATTGAAAATAAACGTCAATGAGTCTGAAATAGCTGGTGCAGCTATCTTAATAATTTTACAAGAAATTTTATCAATGCCAGTGGCTTTATTGCTGGAAAGCCCATGCAAGAGACGACAGACATGACTGACAGTAACAGGCTGGAATGCTGCAAATTCTGATTCAGCAGTTTTAGTATATGTTTCAAAATTTTAATTTGAAGTATCAATTTTGCTAGCTAAATCAGGTCCAATATTTGAAAAGTAATCATTAAAGCCCTCTGCAATATCTTTGGGAGTTGTAAAAATTTTCCCCCCTAGATTAATCTCATTCACCACTGTTGGTTTGTTTTGCTTCCCTAATAAGTTGTTTATACTTTTCCAAGCTTTTTTAGGATTGAATTTTTGACCAGCTATTTTTGAGGAATAGTAATCTTTTTTGGCATTCCTTAGTTCTATGTTTACTTTGTTTCTAGACGTTTTATAATCAAACCAATCAGGGACAAAACTGCCCTGAAACAGAAATGAATTTATTTTAATTTCGCCCATTTCTTTTATCAGTAACTAATTCCACAAAACGGCTAGCCGCCAGTTTGCAAATTTCGGTTTTGTTATATTCACCTATATGACCGGGTTCAGCTGCGATTCCTGCCAGAGGCCTGTGTTGCAACTGCCTACGTATATTTTTAAGTAGCTGCATATACTGTATATTATATAGCTGTAGCGAACTAGAAATATTTTGTATAGTGAACCGCATATAGGAACCTGCAAGTACTCGTGAAACGGCATGATGAGAACATTCGTATATTCTTCAACAATTTAAGATAAATTAATGATATTTGGTGAGAAACTTGAACTTTATGGAAATCAACATGATTTTGTATCAGATATACAAACTCATTCGCGCTTTAAGTTTTGTGACATTTCGTCATGAATTATCAGTGAGTTTCAAAATGATAATTAAAATCCAAGGGTGGGTTGACTACAAAATTTTTGTAGTTCGCTATAACTATACAGCTACTTCAAAAATATGTAGTCAGCTACAACTATTGCTACTTTTGAACAAAGGTAGTTCGCTATACATGACTACAGCTACTGCTTAAAAAATGTAGCGAACTATTTCGCTATTTCGCTGCACTATATTTTTTAGTTTTACTATATTTGGAGCATCTACTAACTCAGGCTGTAATGTAATCTATAACAAATTGACTTACGAGTAGCAACAGCCAACAGTAAACACAAAGCAACATTTTTGTAAGCACTACAGTGTTCAGGAGTGCAAATTGACTATTGAGTATTGATTTTAGGCAAACTGTGTTTCAATATCATGGCGCTATTCTATCAGGTTGCTAATAATTTTAAAAAGTAGCGAATAGCGATTCGCTGTTTGAAAAGTAGTCAACTACTTGGCTACTTTTAGGCAAAATGTAGTTCGCTATAACTACAGCTACTGTTTTAAAAAAGTAGTCAAAAACTACTGGCTACTTGAAAATTGTAGCTCGCTACAGTAGCGAACTACAACTACTTCGCTACAACCCACCCTTGTTAAAATCGCCTGGTTTTTGACCAAAATACAGTTAAATGGGTTTCCATACACGTAATCAGCATTCATATAGAATTAAAAATGATATATAGAAATTCTCTTAAGCCTTTTTTGTCTTACAAAGTCTGATGCTCTTTCATAAAGTCAATGGGATGCGTGCGTGGAACACTGTGACATTCTCTGCACACTGTAAATTCAAATAAAAATCAAAAGAGTCAAAACGACTCCAAAAAAGAATCATAACGACAGACGACTCCAAAGTTGACCCCAGAATGACTCTTTTCGGGGTTATTTAATCCTATTTGTTTGCATGTGGCTAAATAGACTAATTATATTATATTGCATTTCCAACGCAAAATTTATAATTGCATGCGTGAAAATTGAAAACTTGGGCGTTATATTTCTCGTAAACAAAATACTATACAGTATCAATTATGTAGTTATATAGGAAATATATATATATATATATATTTAACAATTATACCATGAGCTCGAGTCGTATATGAGCTGATAGCCGACGAGGTGCGTAGCACCGAGTCGGCTATCAGCCATATACGACGAGAGCGAATGGTATAATTGTTTTATAATATAGTCTAATAGCCATTAACTGAAGCAATAATTATCCTCTGTTACAATGTCTTGACAGTTTGTTCGGCCAAAAACCGCTTGGCCTTGAAAATTTGAAATACTTTTGTTTTACAACTCGAAGACGAAGTGAAAGACTGGTTTTAGAACCGGTATATCTCACAGAAAAGCTCAGATATATTATACAGATGTTTGGTAGTACAGTAAGTGCTTGTTGACTGCAAATTCATTTGTCTTTCGTTGCAAATTTTTCTGAACAATTTATATTCTCAATAAACATGTTTTTTTCGCTGTTGTTTCGGTATTAATTCTTTAAAAAACTTGTATTTAAACTAATTTCTATGTAATAAATGTATTTTGCTAACCTGTCAAATTTTTTTGAGAGTTTTTCTTTGTACTATTATCTTTCTCAAAGCGAATATTTTCCTTTTTTCTGCTTCGCAAACTCATGTAGTTTTTGGACCGCCATCTTGTTTTTCGCTACTCGCCGTATATGAGCTGATATATGGCGAGTAATTCAACCAATCAGATTGCAGAACAGCTCATATACGGTGGATGACTATATTATAAATATATATATATATATATATATATATATATATATATATATATATATATATATATATATATATATATATATATATATATATATATATATATATATATATATATATATATATATATATATATATATATATATATATATATATATATATATATATATATATATATATATATATATATATATATATATATATATATATATATATATATATATATATATATATATATATATATATACAGATATATATATATATATATATATATATATATATATATATATATATAGACTTTTTAATACATAAAATATTTTTAAGTGCATGCAATGAAATTCGAATAAAAATAAAGTTTGAAAGAGTTGCTTTGTTTTACGTATGAGTGGCAGTAATTGAAAGACTTTTATTTTTGCATAAAAACGTTTGACTTTGCATGAATGAAAGAAAGCATGCCATCCCAAGATATTTTAATTTTACTTATTTTCAATTGTATATAATAAATGTTAAATAAAGACATTATAGATTAGTTAGAGAAACAATATTCTATAATTCCAAATTAGAATTTTACAAAGGCCTACAAACGTTACAAATATTTAAAAGTATAATTTAAAGTAAAGTTTCAAGCATTGGACAACTTGCATGTTCGACTAAATTTTAATCTAAGTAAAGAGAAGGGAATCAAACACGACAGGTAAAAAGAACATAATGAAATTAGTAAAATTGCGAAATTTGGTTGCGAAATGTTGTAAAATACAGAAAATATTGCCTTGCGAAGTTTGCATATTTTCAGAAAATTTGTATTACGTGCGAAAATTGTTACCATTTTCGACTCAAAAATGGTAACAATTTCCGCACGTAATACAAACATACTGAAAATATGCAAACTTCGCAAGGCTATATTTTCTGTATTTTACAACATTTCGTAACCAAATTTTGCAATTTTACTTATTTTAATAAGTTCTTTACGGGAATTTACTTTTTTTTTCCTAAATCAAAAATTAGTCTAACATGCAAGTTGTCTATTAAAGTATTCTAAGGCTAAGCACTTTCTTCTTACAACAGTCATTGAGCTGTAGAGTACTAAATTATAGATTGAGCGAACAAGCATAATTTATAAAAAACCGATTTCTCGAGCATAATTATAATTAAACTTTGCAATTGCACTTTTTGTGGCTATGAGTGTTATAAATTGTAACTCACAATTTGCCTGCTGGGTTTTTGATTTTATTCAAGTTATTCTAAAAGTGTTATTTAAGAAGGCGTGCATAGCTATCAAGAGCAGCTGTGATATATGATAGTCTTCCTCGCAGACGTTCTTGTAGCTCTAACCCTCGCTAACTAACGTCTGCTGTAACGAGATGCACATTGCATTCCCTCCGATCGACCAATCACAGCGAACCTTCTATATTTCGGAATGTGATTTAGGGGCGGAAGAAATTTAAAAAGATTTAAACTTTCCATGCGTATACGCACGCATATAAAAAACACGTGACTGGAGAGCAGCCTTTAGCGAGAGTTAGAGCTATACACTGGAAAAAAATTGAAAATCCAGAGGTCATACCATAGAAATTGTATGTACCTTTAGGGACCGGTCATTATTTATGGTGGGGGGTGGCACCGAAGAGAAATGTTTTTCGTGCCAAAAATTTTGCTGACCCAACCATTAAAAAATAAAAAATTTGATTACCCAACCTCAAGTATCGTTTAAAAAATAAATACCCACCCCTGGCCAAAAACGTTACAAAAGGATGTCATTCAGTTGTCACACATGTCCTTTACCACTTCTGTGACACGAGTTTGATAACGTTCGGCTTGTGAAATTTACTGACTTTTCTCCAGTCTAAAGTTTCATGTTGTCTGCACATCTACTTTCTTTGGAGACACCATTAATTTGTCTCCAACAAATCGGAAAATGATCAAGATAGTGACTCTGATCATAGACAATCCAGAAGACATGCCAGACAATCAGAGCATAGACAATCAAGGACTGTCTTCTGGATTGTCTATGCTCTGATTAATTCACATATTGTATTGACGTATGACTGTTCACATTGAAGTTTTCAGTCTTCAATGTTTGAGTGAGTCATGCTTTGGAAATGACAATAAATTTTTATTACCCAACCTTTGAGTTGTTTCTTTTTTCATTTACCCAACCTTTTACTCACTCAAAATTTTGTTTACCCAACCCTTTTCTCTTCGGTGCCACCCCCCGCCATAAATAATGACCGGTCCCTTATTGGAAATAAAATGGATTTTGATCATCCATAATAATTGTATATTTCCATACTGTGGATACAGTA